TGGCCGGCTGCCGAGAATGTCTGATCCCAGTCCCAGCCTGGGTTAGTGTTTTATATGTATGGAGGTCAAGTGCGCCTAGTGAAGGAAAGAGGTGTAAAAACCCTTCTTGCGTCGAGTATTTTCCTTGAGAACATAGAAAATCAGCGTTTATTGAAGGGCGTAAATGAGATATATGTGCACAGTGCTTGTCAGATAAAATACAACAATCCGTAATTTATCAAAGCAGCTGTTAAGCAGTGGAAAATCAAATATTACGCCATCAAGGGCCAGTCTCTGAGCAGTTCAATTCCAGAGAACACTGTTGTCTATGTGGAGACAAAATAACTGAAGAGTTCCTTGTGGCAGAAAGGAAGAAGAAGCCAGAACAACGGAACAATGTCATTACTGCGGAAAAGTTGTCTCTCAGTGCAACAATCTTGAAAGCAGCTGAGAAACGTGGTGATGAATGGGCTCTTGAAATAAAAGAGCGAATATGTGAGAAAACACATTTGGTAGCCCTTGATGCCACCACCACCAACACTACCACCAACAACATCACCACCACCACTAACAGAAAAGTCCAGGGGAAATCGTCAGCATCACACAGTTGATAAGGTCATGGCAAAAATGTATTTATTTCTGGAAGAGAATGCTGAGGAGTGTCAGTTCTCTCTAGATGAACTCATGGACCAGATAGAAGGAGAAAGATCTCAACTACGACCAAATATAAGTCGCTTGTTTGCAAAGTATGGGGAAGACATTTTGATCGTTGAGAGACACTTCAAACACACGACTGTTTGTTTTAAAAACACAGGTCACAAAGTTCTCACCGGTACATGGTATGACAGTAGAAGCTCAGATCCTCAAGCAGAAAGACTACGCGTGGTGAAAGCAGCTGCAGAAATCATACGGATATACGGACGCAAGTGATTTATTCTTAATATTACTCAATTTCCTACAAATAAACTTATCAATTTTTGTTGTACTTATGTTTTTTACTTCATTTTTCGTAGCTTAATAAATAATAGTTGGAATCAAAGATGGAATTGTTTTATTTCAAAACTTACTTTCATTTTCAAAACACGTGTTCCAGTATATAAATAAGAATTTATCAATTCTTCTACATTTCTCTCCGTCCTCTTTGAGTTGTTCATTTCAATGTCTTTCTAGTTCATTTTTTCATTCTTAAACATCATCGTTCTCACTTCCCATTTTCTTTTTTATTATCCCATCATAAAAAGCTTCGATGGTATAATCAGGGTAAAAAGTAAATCAATCAGAAAGACAGAGCTGCGAAAAATTGCGAAGTTTCAAAAAAAATGATAAACTTTGAGAGGCTTAATCTCGGAAACTATTGAGTCTACAGAGAAAGTTTCAGTATCATATTATAGCAAAGTTAGTCTACTTTAAAAACTTACACAGCACCGGGATTTAAAACATGTGTTCCAGTACGTAAATAAGAATTTATCAATTCTTACACATTTCTCTCCGCCCTCTTTGAGTTGGTCATTTCAATGCCTTTCTAGTTCATTTGTTCATCCTTAAACATCATCGTTCTCACTTCCCATTTTCTTTTTCAACATCTCATCATTAAAAATCCGATGGTATAATCAGGGTCAGAGTAAATCAATCAGAAAGACAGAGCTGCGAAAAATTGCGAAGTTCTAAAAAAATGAAAAACTTTGATAGGCTTAATCTCGGAAACTATTGAGTCTAAAGAGAAAGTTTCAGTATCATATTATAGCAAATTTAGTCTACTTTAAAAACTTACACAGCACCGGGGTGTGAGGCCCTGCTCACGAAAAATTGCGAAGTTCTAAAAAAATGAAAAACTTTGATAGGCTTAATCTCGGAAACTATTGAGTCTACAGAGAAAGTTTCAGTATCATATTATAGCAAAGTTAGTCTACTTTAAAAACTTACACAGCACCGGGGTGTGAGGCCCTGCTCAAAAAAACATTATTTGCATTCAAAAGTTATGCAAGCGTTTTGTATTGTAAGAAATTAAAACATACAAGAACCCTAAATCGTGATTTTTCAAATTTTTTTCAATGAGTAATGTTCATCAAAGAAGAAAGTAATACAAATCATGAAATTATGAAACAACAAAAATTAATTGACGCTCCAGGGCGACTTCATTGATTCCAGTGGCGCATTTGCTTTTTCAGCTGCAGGAAAACCCGGAAAAACCTGCAGTTTTTCATATTTTGTGAATGAAGTTCCAATCGGATAACAGAGAAAAACAATTTTACATCATAAACCTTAAACACTAAAGACACGCCTAAAGTAGCAATTGAGTGATGAAACCCGTGTTCCGTTTTCGTGAAACTTTTTCTTGAAAATCTCGCACTGAAGTGTTTCTTGAATACCTAAACACTTCATTTCCTCCGAGCTGAAACCGACTTGGAAGGATCTCCCAAGTTATTGAAGTATATATTAGCCCTATAACTCATTATAATTGGAGATGATGAGTGGGACACCCCGATGGTACGACAGGGCTAAGTAGACGTCGGATAGATCAGCCAAGGGTTGCTTTGATGTGGGCCGTCGCGGCGCGTCTTCCACTCTAAGTGCGAATCCGTGTAGCCCCCAGCGCGGAACTCGTCAACTGTTTCTCTACTGCGAAATATTCAATTTGCTCATAACGCTCATTATTCCAGATACATCTCGCTTATCAGCGGCTTATCCTTCAGCGGAAGTGATATAAGTGGGGAAATAGGTTTATTACCACTTCTGTACGCTTCCTTCTCGCCGGGGGTTTGCTGATGCTTCCAGTTCCTTCATCCGGATTTCATTATCGCATCTTGTTAACTTCTGATGTGCTCTCATATGTGGAAGGAAATCTTTGAGGTTTTCTGGTCGGAGATATTCTGAAATAACCTTATATTTTCTAGCTATGGAAGCGCAGAAGAGCTATTTTTGAAATTTGTTCCTGGAATTACGAATTTGAACTCAAAATGTATACTTTCATCTCAAAATTTCTTGGTACAATGATACGATTACATTATCTAAATATTGTACACACTATGTTTTATTAATTTCATAATTATTTTTCCAACTGACTGATTTGAAATTCTTCGAAAATAACTGGGGCACTAAAGCAAATTCAAATCCAAGATAGAGTGGATGTAAACATTGACATGCCCTACGCACGTGATATTGGAAATCCCAAGAATTGGCCAGGGTGGTATTCANCAATTCGATTTCCATCTATAACGTAAGCTTCAGACACAAACCCATTTTCACCATCTTTCCAACCTTTTTGATACGTGTGTGTGACGTGAATATATATGTTTCATCCATTTAAATAATATCTAGACATTATTCTCTGTAGGTCCGCATTTTTTTCAGGAGTTCTATGTTGAGTAGTCGAATAGGCTGGAGTTCCGTCAATATTTTCCTGTTATTTTTCAGCATTCTGTATCAAAATGCAAGTTTATGAATTTATTTTCGCAAAGACTCCGCTACCTCGGAAGATAGTCTTATGAATTTCCCTAAGCGTAGGAAACATGTTTCTCTTTGATATGGAAATTAATCATGCATCTGCGTAAAATTCCAAAATTAGCATCATCCACCACAATTTCCCTTTGCATAATTCTCAATACGTTGTGCACAATTTCTCAACCCGTCCAAGGGGTACCTTGTTTTTCAGTTCACTGTTCGAAGGCATTTCCAAAACCGAAAAATAACTCACAGTTCACAACACAAAATCATTTCTGTACTCACACGATAGTCACTACTCGAGTTCTTTGATGTTAATAAGCTCTTGCCTTACTCTGTCGGCTGATCCACTATGATCCAATATTCAGAGGCACAGCTAAATTTACCAAACTGTATACGTCTCTTCGACATTCAGATAGATAGTGCAGGATATTTCCATTTACATGCTGTATATATATTTTCTATTGTTTTGCTGACATGAATTCTACTGTTAAGTATGAAAATGACCTTGCAACATTGCCTGTGTTAGTATGGTTCGACTTCAATATAAAAAAGTTTATATAATTCAGCTATCAACTTAACTCAAACGTTTGACAAAGTTGTTCGCGGCAAACCAAAAACTGTACAACCAAAGAAGAAACTTACTTCATACTAGTGTGTGCATATAGGATCTGGTATAACAATTGAAGTATTTTCTACTTATTTCCTCAAGCTTCCACTTCACAATTCTTCACAAACTGAGAAAATGAAAAACATCTATCAAATTTGTTCATTTACATGACACTTACTTACTCTGCCACGATTTTCATTTACTGCCATCTATCTATTGGTAGTTGAGATAAACAATATTCAAAAAAGGAACTCTGTACCAGAAGTTAAAATGGAGACTTCAACCTTTGTATATAGATCAACCCTATATACAAAGCTTCAATGTTGATGATAGAAAGTAATGTTGAATAGTATTGAATTTTGTTATATTGAACAGAATCAGTTCCAATTTCCATTAGTAGCCAAATAAGTTCTGAAAGTACGTGGTGGGAATGGTGAATGATTCCGCCATCTATTGGTTGGTAGTTGGAATAAGTGAAATGTTTTTGAGTTCGTCAAAGAATACAAAGCCTATGGAAGTTCAGAACAAATTAAAAAGCCAACTGGTTTGTTAGCGACTGCTACCCAGTTCCATTGGTAATCACATGGAATACGAGCATCGCTCTCTAGAGGTCAGGGTGAGTACTAAACATTTTTTAATACACGAGAATGCCAGTTCTTTGAAATTGTCTACAGCTTTCCAGTAGTTTTCTTCAGTTTCCAGTTTTTGTTCATATATACCTTGTTTGTCTGAACTGCCTGGTTGTCATTGCAGATATTTTTCCTTTCTTTCCTTGAAGATTTCCCACATTTTTTGTTCAAATATGTTGAAGTAGAAAGCCAAAATGCTTTTCTCAAGAAAGTCCAAATAAGTTGAGAAAGTTGTGTTCTATCTTAATTTTATTTCATTTAAGTTTACAAAAGTTTGTCCGAACATAAAGGATTCAGATACAAGGAAAAATGTATTTGAACCCAATATTGTGAGCATATTTTCACGGATGGTNTAATATACTGGAGACTAGATTAGAAACACCAAAAAGTAGAAATGGGGCGTACAGACCAAATTTTATAGAGAGAACCTGAAACAAGACAGTCGAAAATAGAATTGAAATCCCGAACACTACGACAAGTAAAGTCATAGCCTTTGCCTTGATACTTGTGGAAAACAACTCCCCCATCATCAGTGTTGGTACTATACAAACTCCGTAAGAATTGAAGAGTACGTATAGTAACATCCCTGTTATAGGAATCCATCCAGAATTCATTTTCATGGAAATTTCCTGTTCCATATAGAAATATACAGACAAAGCAATCAAAATTATACCAGAGGGTATCAATGAACCGATGTAGGATTTTCTCCGACCTAACTTATCATTAAACAATGAGGCAAGAGTATTCAACAACAACCAGAAACCTATAAAACATATAGACGAAATTTCTGGGCTGATGTCACTTCCCGATTCCTCAAAAATTGTTTGGGTACACGTGAGAGCGACTACAATTCCGCTCATGTTTTGTGAGAATCTCATAAAAATAGCGGCTATGAGAGCTTTTCTGTTAGTCGGAATGACGAACAAACTTTTCCATGTTCCACGTTCTGACATTTGTCTATCAACGTCCGCTTTGAGTTGGAGCAAATCTTCTTCCACATCAGATTTTCTGGTGAGAGTTTTCAGACTTCTTCGAGCATTAACTGTATCGTCTTTCATCAATAAATAGTAAGGAGACTCTGGTAAAATGAAGTATGTTGTCGATAATGAAGTTGATAATATAACGCCGATCAGAGATGAGATTTTAACGCTGAGATAACTGCCAATTATGGTGATTGCAAATTCTCCCACGTAGTACAAGACGGTTAGAGAGTTTCCCCAGGTCCCCCTCACTGTTGGGGAGGCTACTTCCCCTATGTACATAGGGAGTGCAGTGAAAATTATCCCATCTCCAACACCTTCCAATATTCTGGCAGCATAAATTAAGTACAAATTCGTAGATATCGCTGGGAGTGCCCATGCTAGTATCTGAGGAATGTACACTATGAAAAGCGTTTTTTTTCTTCCGATGGTATCGCTCAGAGTGGATGCAACTAGACATGTAATCATCATTGCCACTGGTGGTAATATTGTGAAGGGGAGAACTTCGCCTTCGTCGATGTCGTAGTTTTCATCCTTTATGATTTTTGGGGTGTAAGGGGATGGCCAAGACATCAGCATTCCATTGCTGACACATGAGAAACAGGCTGGAACAAAAATAATTGACGTGAGAGTTGCATGACAAATAAATTAACGTTGAATACAGGGTCTTTCACGACGAGTGTTCGTTAAGAATATGTGAGGAACGATTCAAAATAAAACCTTGAAATTTTGTGGTAGTGAAATCTAAAGTAAATGGAACTTCAAACGTTCAAGCCAGTCTCTATATACCTACACAGTAGGTTTAATGGACTGACGCCTATCAGAAAACAACTACTCCCCTGGCTAATACCACGAAGGGCGTTGGATTATATCCGACAGGCGTCAGTGCAGAAATTTTCACAGAAAATGTCCTGCATATGCAATTGGCAATACAACTGAAAGAGTCGACCTTCAATTATGGAACGGGCACACTTGCAGACCGGTTTCGGGCTTATTAGCCACTCATCATTAGCCAAGTGTGCCCGTTCCATAATTGAAGGTCGACTCTTTCAGTTGTATTGCCAATTGCATATGCAGGACATTATCTGTGAAAATTCCTGCACTGACGCCTGTCGGATATAATCCAACGCCCTTCGTGGTATTAGCCAGGGGAGTAGTTGTTTTCTGATAGGCGTCAGTCCATTAAACCTACTGTGTAGGTATCTAGAGACTGGCTTGAACGTTTGAAGTTCCATTTACTTTAGATTTGTTTACGGCCAGTCTTCAAGCATTGCCCACTGACTAATAAGAAAGTTTGTGGTAGTGTGTTTTACGAAATGACCTTCTCAAATAAGATATTTTCAACTTACGGTCTCTTTCCGTTATACCGGAAGTTGAGGGCAACTTCCTTATTTCAAATGGAACACTATTTGGAATGGAACCATATTTTATTACATTTTTAAATTTCTCAGCACATTTTAGGCCCGCTTCGTATAACAATGTCTATACCCAAATTTGTTAGTTTTCGAGATATTAATTTTTTTTAGAAAAATATGACAGTTACAGCACCACCCCGAAAAAATCATAACTTATAGACAGTAACAGTTGAAGATGTGAAATTTCGCAGAATCACACCTTAAGCATCAAGTCATGACCTGGTCCATCGAATTTTCGAAAATAATTTACAGGGTGGTCGAATTTTCCATCTAAAACATAACATCGAGAAAACTGATGAAACACAATTTTTTCAAATAGAAACCATACACTATTCTATTAATTTTGGATACTAAGGAAAAAAGATATCACGTTCATGAAGAATATCCTATACCTAAAATACACCCCTGGGAAGATATATCCGATTTTGGGAAATATTTGAAATGTAAATAATTCGAAGCAATACCAAACCAAGGAAGCTTTGAAAACAAATGAAGTTACAACAAATATGTCATAATTTGATGCGATATGATTGATGTGTATTTCGTAGTTTTCTATTTGTGTGCAAAATGTCTCGTTTGGGGTATTCTAATGAAGATTTCATGAATTTAATAATCGTTTATGGTGAATGCAATAAAATAATGGACAGAATTTCCCTTTTTTTTGCAAAAAGATTTCCAAATCTACACAGACCCAATAAAAATATTCTTAGAAGACTTCTAAGAAACTGCCGTGATTTCGGATCTTTTTCTTCTGTCATCAACAAAAAAAACACTCGTAAGCAATGAGGACATCGAAGTTTTGGCCTACTTCACAGCCTATCCAGAAAATTCGTTGAAAGACGCAGAAAAGTCACTTAGGATTTCATGTTCGTCAATAAACCGGATTTTAATCAAACATTAGAGGCGTCTCTTCAAATATCACCAGGTTCAAAATCTGAAACCTCACGACTTACCTTACAACCGTCATTTTTGGGCAGCAGAAAATCCAAAGCTCGTACGCCAGCGCCACTTCCAGGATTCATGGAGTTTTAATGTTTTTCGCGCAATAAAGGAAGACCGAATTTTATGTTTATATCTTAATTGCTATGTATCATACTGTAAAAGTGTTTGCAAATTGGATTCTTTCCCCTGTGTTGTTTTATGTAGTTTTTTATGGTACTTCCTTTTTTATATTCTATCCTGTACAAAGATAAGAGAAGAATATTCTCGCAGGGAATGTATAAAATTTTATTCACATCAGAGTAATAAATAGTTTATAATTTATGGTAGCGGTTGTTCATATTAACTTCCTTCATCAACCCATAAATAACATTAATGAAAAAAATTTTAATAGCGATAGATACTCGCATATAATTATGAATGTGGTTGGTGAATCCATAAGGCATGTTTCTGAACAATATCGTTTCAAGTAATGGTATTAGATGAATGGATCCCCTGCACATACTACTGATACTGTTGCTGGGTTGTTGAATGGAATGTTCGAAAATCAGTGACTTTGCTATAATGGGCTATTTAAATTTTCTCATCGCTCTCCAGACCTGACGCCACTGGATATATTCTGTGGATATATTCAAAGAAAATGTTTATGCGGATTCTGTGAGTGATGAAGAAAACATGAAACATAGGGTTCTGAGAGTTTTCAATAATTTGATTCCTGACTTCATACAGAAAGCTACAAATAGTGCAAAATAGAATATATTCTTGTTTAGAACAAAACGGCAATGTCTTTGAACATCTGTTGAAATGGAGCACAATATTATTTGAATTTAAAGAAATTAAGTTAAATTCTAAAATAAAAGTTAAATCTAACCTTTTTTTATGTAAACATAATAAAATTACTGTATTCGATATCAATGAACGAAGATATAATTTATCTCTCTGATAGTATTTTATTTCAATCCCAGGTATAGGACATTCTTGATGAATTTGATATCTTTTTTTTCGTAGTATCCAAAAATAATAGAATAGTGTATGGTTTCCATTTGAAAAAATCGTGTTTCATCATGTTATGTTTTAGGTGGAAATTTCGACCACCCGGTGAATTATTTTCGAAAATTCGATAGACCTGTTCATGACTTCATGCATAAGGTGTGATTCTGCAAAATTTCACATTTTCAACTGTTACTGTCTATGGGTTATGATTTTTTCGGGGTAGTGCTGTAACTGTCAAATTTTTCAGAAAAAAATTAATATCTCGAAAACTAACAAATTTGGGTATAGGCATTGTTATACAAAGTGATCTTGAAATGTGCTGAAAAAATAAAAAATGTAATGAAATACAGGGTGTTTTATTTGAAATAAGGAAGTTGCCCTCAATTTCCGGTTTAACGGAAAGAGACCGTAATTTGAAAATATTTCAGTTAAGAAGACCATTTTGTAAAACCCACTAGCACAAAATTTTAAGTTTTCATTTTGAATCGTTCTCCATATATGCCTAACGAACGCTTGTCGTGAAAGACCCTGTATAGAATGGAGTTGACTCCATGTTGATTCCATGTCTAACTAAACTACAAATAGAAAAGAAGGTACCTTTGACCATAGAAATCAATGTACCTATGGAAAACAAATTATTGAAATAAACCAAAATCTCTCTCACCTATTATAATAGTAAAAACCTGTGGCCAACTTTTGCCCACATTTTTCTCACTCATATCTTTGCTAGCATTTTCACATATTTTCAGCTCTTTGACCGTCATGTTCAGTTGATAATTCGTTGGAATATATTACGTGATAGTGGCACACAAAGTGGTACTGCTGCTGTCAGTTTTCGTTCAAAATTCAGAAATCGTTCAGGACTGGCTTAAAATTTCAGTAACGTAAATAATACTCTAGCTATCGAAAGTTTTTTTCTGCGAGGCTAGTAATTAAGAATGATTAGAACGCAGTTACAAAAATTGTCGAGCCATAAATGAACTTGAATTGTTCAAGTTCTTAAAAATATGAATAATATGAAATCAATTGAGAAAAATAACTTGACCTTTGGATAATGTCATCGAACATTATTAATTTTCTGCTTTTATTTGCTTCAAAACAAAAATATTATTCCAAGTTGATAATGATTTCCATGCTAATAAGGTGATTGGGACCTGTCGGCTTTCAAGCGATCTCTTATAGTATGATCCTTGCTTTCGCGGACGAGGTTATCATGCGTTTCTGTAGGCTAAAAATAATTTCACTGAGGATACACTACAAAAATCTATTCCACTATATTTCTTTATTGTTGACCGGTTTCGGATATTACACCATTTTCAAAACTAACTGATTAACTGAAACCGGTCAACAATAAAGAAATATAAGTAGTGGAAAATAGACAAAAGTGTGTTTTTGTAGTGTATCAGTGAACATGAATTTCCACAAATGAACAAGTCGTCAATCGAAGAAGTAAAAATTATTTATTTTTTATTTACTAGGTCAGATTGGCTCGAGAAAATTAAAAAAATATTGAACATTTCAAAATCTTTTATTTGAAACATCCATTGAAAATAACATAACATAAATGATTATATTGAAACTTTTTCGTAGATTTCACGTCCTTCCTTTCCTTCGCCCTTTTTAGCCATGCCTGAATCGACAGTTCCGTTTCCTGTCGTGATTTGGACATGTTTGCCTTCTCAGCAGAACCTGAAAATAATTTAAATTGCCTATTCAAAATGAATGGTAGATGATCAATATGAAAATCCAATCTGTATTAAATTATTATAGATATCTAATGTAGGTGGTGTCTAAATAATATACGAGTATACTCACTTATGATATGAGCTGCATTTTCCTTCACTTCTTCGTACTGTAAACTAGTGGCTTCAACACATTCGGCTGTTTGTTCTCATGATGAAGCTGCGGCCGGCGGAATAACTGTATAGGGAGCAGATTGCGAATGCCGTTTAGCACGCATATGTTTGTTTAAGTTTGACTTAGACATTATGAATTCACTAACCTTTTAGCTTTTCAGTATTCAGTAAGATAAAGTGCAAACGTTAATAAGTCAACCACAATCACTAAAACAGTCGAGTAAGAGTAACACGAATGACAATGACATTGACATTCACGCGTCACACAACAACACAGAACCAACGGAACCAACTGTTCACAACTATTAGATCATGTAGGCTACGCTACGCTATATTATTATTCCTCGCAAACATACGCTATATATGATCTAAAACTGAACTAATAGTTTTAGTTCTGTTGGTTTTAATCATTGATTAATGGACAGCTCAGTGATATGAACTGCATTACTTACCTTTTTTATCATTTCTTTCAGAAAATGTCGACACTGAATAAATTAAAATATCGAAAAAGCGAAGCAACCAAAGGTGAAGAATGTAATAATTAAAATCGACCAGACTTCCGTGCAACCGACAGTAAAATGCAACAAGATGCGTTCTGTGGTTGGTGACTCTGATGGCAGGAAGTTTAACATTATCATTTCAAACGATAGCATGCAAATTGAGTTAAAAATGCGTTGATAATTGGCCCACCCTAATTCCAAGTTCTTTGGCAACTGAACCAACACAGTTCAGTAGTTCATGAAATTGCATTATACAATCTGCCCCAAAAGTTATTAACTAAAGTCCAAAACTCCACAATTTGAAATCAATCTTGCGCGTAAGCACATGTTACGCATGACTTCGTATTTCATGTAACAATTTGGAAATTGAAAATCACGTAATGTAATTCCTAAAACTCCATTCTCGAGATATCAATACTTGAAATTGTTCTTTGATATGACCTATATGACCTTGATACCTATATGTTGGATAACTTCACACACAGTTTTGGCATTACCTTCATATGTTCTACTGCTTATTGATGATTTAATAATGTTATAACAACGTCTTGCTGAATGAGACGTTTTTTGTGTAATAAACATATATATACGCCGTCTTTTATAATCATTTCATTATAATATATACTAATTTTTTAATGTTTCTCATGAAATAATACAATGCGAACGTGAATCCAATGGAAGTATAATAAAGTACCTAGAATGGACATTCTAGGGACATATATTTCTGTACGTTGTCACACGGCAAAACAGCGTATTTACGACGACAAAAGTCAAAAAAACAAAGTTTTATTTTGAATAAAATTTTAATGCCAAACCGGTCTCAAATATCCCTTATATCCAATACAAAATTAGGTTTTTTTCTAGAAATGCCCTAATCCATGGGGCAGGTAGCCAAACTTTGAGTTTTTTCATCACCCTTATACTCGGCTCATCAGTTCTGTCCCAACCGTAGTGTTTTTGTGAAGTTATAGTGCAATATGGATATTTTACCTTGTGGTAAGTACATTGTAATTTCAATATAATTATGTAGTTATAGAAATATCCTAGTGAAATATTCGAACATATCCGTTGAATGCACATTTTTTTGTTGTTTGCCTTAGTTTGACTAGATTTTCAAAAAAAAGTTCCACATTGTTCCGGTTAGAAAAAGTGAACAACCATAACCCACGTGTCTGAACTTTAGTTCGCAATAGTTTTTAGCACCCTTTTTTGCCACATTTTCACATAATTCGTCATTTTTCACAGGTAGTCAGACAGTCGATGGCGCTGTGGCATTGCCGAAAATAACCAGAAAAGAACTGTTCTTGATACTGAGGAGCGAAAGTTTGTTCAAGTCATCGATACCTAAGTGCAATAAACGATTGTTTGATTATATTGTCGACAAATACAACATTGAGGATTGTCTATCAACAACAGAAAAAGCATTGAGAATTAAAATAAAAGTTAGAGACACTGAGAGCCCGCTCATCTGTTGCGAATATCTCAGAACGAACCCAGCTACTAGAGCTCTTCTGTTGCTCGGGATCATGAACAAATGTTTCCAAGTCCCTTGTTCTGACATCTGTCTTTCGACATCAGCTCTGAGCTGCATGAAATCGTCCTCGACGTTCAGCTTCCTGGTGAGCGTCAGCAGAATTTTGCGAGCACTTGTTTCATCTCCTTTCATGAGTTTGTAGTAAGGATGTTTCTGGCAGCAGAAAACAAGTAGACAATAGTAGAATTGGTACTATAATACAGATCAATGAGACACTTTGTATGCTGAAGTAGCTACCGATGACGGTGATGAAAAATTCTCCTGTGTAGTAAGTGAGAGGTAAAGCATTTCCCCAGGTATCCCTGACTTTTGGAGGGGCAACTTCTCCTATGTACATGGGGACACTACTGAATATTATCCCATCTCCCACACCTGATAGAATTCTCGCAGCGTATATGGCATACACGTTTCTGGACACCGCTGGTAGTGTCCAAGAAAATGCTTGAGTTATGATGACCAGAAGCAATGTTCGTTTTCTTCTAATACAGTCGTTTAGGGATGATGAAGCCAAACAAGTGACAATCATTGCTACAGGTGGTAAAGTGGTGAAAAACGAGGCCATCGTTTCATCAATATCTGTGTCTACAATCTTCGGAGTGAAGGGAGATGGCCAAGAGAACAGCATTCTGTTATTAAGAGATGACAAACATGCTGGAAATAAAAAATGTGACATTACTCTGATGAGAAGATTATAACCTTTAAGTTTGGAGTGTCCACATGACAGAATGGTACTGGATGTATCAGTCATCAGGTCCCCTTTCATGAGGAGTTCGGATCCCCTTCTCTGCATGGTCCGTGACCATGATAGAGCAGGAATTGAATAATTTCTCTTTAGGGCAGCTGCCCGAGAAGCCGGTGAACTCGTTTAGTTTTCGACACTGAACGAGGTGACCACAACTCTGTCACCGAGTTGGAACCCGTTCAGCAAAAAGCTTATATAAAAGCCGCAGAGATCACCTCACTTCTGCAGAAACACAAGGATAAGCCAATGCATGGTGTCTTCTTCAATAACATTGGAGACCTTGGCTTATCAAAGCGCCTGACGTTCGCTTTTCTCAGGTCGAGTGGGCTGAAGTCGGAAACTGAGGGGTTCATCATGGCTTGCCAGGATGGTGTCTTCAACACCTTAGTCTAACACAGTCGCGTGATGGGTATATAGGTTCCTGACACAAGGTGCAGGATCTGCCGCGGGGCGCCCGAGACCCTAATACACTTGCTATCAGCATGTCCAGCATATGCGGTCTTGGCCTACATTCATCAACATAACGTGACCCTGAGAGTGCTATATTATTATTTACGACACTCTTACGGTATTGACGAGACACTGGTGTTGCCCTACGCTCCGGGGGACATTGAACCATTGTGGGAAACGAGAAGTTCCGAATTTATTGGAACTATTCGTTCCCCCACCCTCAGGCTCATACAAGCTAATAAGCCTGATTTAGTCCTTCTCGACCATCAGAGCAAAACGATATTTGTCGTGTAGTTTTCAGCCCCTGGCGAGATGAATATCGTCCGAAAAGAAGAGAAATTTTCGAATCAATCGCGTTACTACGTTTTATATTGATATTTTAGATTTATTCATGAATTTTAGTATTATTCGAGAGCTTTCACCTTTCCCCTCTCTCTGCTTCACCGATTTATAAAAACTCCCTCTAAAGACTCCTTCTGTTTTTCCGCTTGGTCAGAGGTTTCCATATGTTTTGTGTCTCTACGCTAGCTTGGCGGTATGCGTCGTTGGACAACATATATGCAGCTTCTTTGAATTTCATGTTGAACTACTGTTTATCCTTGTGGAAGATCTCAGTTCGGAACCACTTGTTATGTTTATGGGTCTAAACATGCTCTGCTATTCTCGATATGCTGGTTTCTCTTCTCTGTGTCTTTATATTGTGCCCGGCAGTGCGAATTTTCAAAGGACTCTCAGTTTCACCGATACAGGATTCGCGGCACTCACAGGGAATCCAGTAAATGCAATTATTGGAATCGCAGTCCGCGTTTGGTGCCCTAGTTTTCGTGAGGCTGCTACGGTTGGTGTTTCCGGATCTGGAGCAGGTTCTGATATTGTACTAGGACCCACGTTTTTATCCTTTCCGACAATTCTCTGACATGAGGAAGGGCAGGCACTGGTTGTACTAACATTCGAAACATCGTGGAGTAACTTGTTTGATGCCCTTGACAGAAGAAAAGTGGATCTGCAAGCTTAAGCAGATGACCTGGTCATCCTGTCAAGGTCCACGTCGTGAAGTGTAGCTTGTAAGATCCTCCAAAGTACGATGGATGTTGTTTACAGTTGACGTCTGAGGGAGCAGATGTCTGTCAACACCAGCAAAACTGTGATAATCTCCTTCACCAAGACGAGAAAGTTTGACGATTCAGCGCCACTTTCTCTCAATGGTGGTCATTCGATTTAGAACGGAGGTGGAATATCTTGGCATTGTTTTTGATGAAGAACTCACCTGGAACACTCACTAACTTGGAAAAAGTTTTACACAAAGCTAGACTGTATTTATGGACTTGTCGAAGAATTCGTGGTAAAATATGGGATTCAGTTCCCAAACAAATCTATTAGATTTATGTGATGATCATCAGACCAATGATCACCCATGGTGCAATTGCCTGGTGGCCGAAGTTCTCTGGCTTACAGAAACAAACTTGTCTGGTCATCAGTAATGCCATCAGTACCTACCACACCGTCAGCGGCCATAGAGATCTTTTTATATCTACCTCCTATCCACATTTTTCTGGAAAGAGAGACTAGATGGGCTGCATATAGACTTGTGCACATTGCCATATACACAAAATCAATTCAATGCAGAGTGCAACAGACTGTTTGTTGACACTGGAAGTCACAGCATTCAGTAAATGACCTCTGACTTCATGCCTCCAAATGTCAAGTTCGAACTGCCTTATACAGTTCCCGAACAAAGAGGACTGGATCCTCCGAGAGAAAGAAATGTTAATAGCAAATAGTTGTTGGTTCACAGATGGATCAAAAACACCTTCAGGTTCTAGTGCAAGTATTTTCAGTAGCAGACCCAGGACAAAGATATCAACCTGTCTAGGGACATGTGCGACTGTATATCAAGCGGAAATTTACACTATTGAATTGTGTTGTTGTTGTTGTTGTTGAATTATAGTAGGGATGAACTACGATGTCCAACAGGTCTTCTCACAGTATGTGTCGCCTCTATTTAGAAAATGATGGAACAGCAGAGCACATACGTCTGCCTGCCCCGCTGGTGACCGAATCAGGTTTGTTCAGTATGGTAGAACCGTATTCTTACTATTAACCATACAAACTACTAATTTGCCTTCGTTAAGAAGCTGGGTTTATTTGGTCGAGTGTGAATAGGTGTGAGCCACAATAAACCCTTGCGGGTTGCGGTGGAGAGTCGAATAGAACCACTCACTTTGGACCTAACCTGACCTAACTCGTTTGGAAATCTCTTAAAATTTTTATTTTCATTTTTATATTTTATCTTGATTTTCTTATTCGTTTTATTGTATTTTCATTTCACGTTTCATTACCTAATAAAATCAATATTTCAGTTATTCATTCTGGTTTCATTTGTTTTTTCATACATTTCGAATCATATTATACCAAATTAGACATAGGAAGTCCGAACTAGTGAAATTAAATATGAAACATTATCAACTCCTCTCAAACACATATCAAAGAAAATGGCAAGAACTTGTTCAGGTGATCACGGACAACATTTTAAACATGTCTCGTGATTTATAAATTTGTTTTGTGTCCATGATATATTTTTTGTTTCATTGAAAGTGTTCAGCTTTCATTTCCAATATCAGGAACAAAGTTCCATGTTGATATCGTTTTATAATATCGCTTTTCAACATCATTATGGACCAAGCATAGTAAGATTCCTCTCCAATAATCTGATGATGAAGTTCGATGAAATTGAATTTTCTCAGAATACATTCTCGATATTTTGACACAATTTTTAGTGAATTTTCAATAAATCTTCATCCTATTACGTTTTTTTTTTCATTATCATTACACTTCAATATGAAATACTCAATTAATTCATAAAATTACGACTTTATGTCACGAATACGTAAAATTTATTGATGTCATCAATGACAGCACATCATTGATGTCATGATGATTTGATTTGATCCCAGCCGTAGAAATCTTGTTTGAACTGAAAGGGGTTTATTGTTAGAAGAAAATAATATGAGGCAAAAGAAGGTTTTGGCTTTTTATTTCTCTATCTTCATACAAAAAAATGTGGGAATCTTTCACGTTCTTTTGTATGAAGATGGAGAAGTAGAAAGACAAAACCTTCCTTCCCCAAAAGTTGATCCGTCCTGAAAATATACAAATTTCAATTCACATAAATATTTACTACAAATCTCGCCCACCTATGAGAATAGCCAAAACTTGTGGCCAACTTTTTCCTGCATTCTTCAAATCTGGTTCTAGCCGGTAGTCCCCAATAGTCCTCATTATATTCACTCTCATATTGAAGTAATCTAAATCACGTTGACACGATGTAACACAAGCCCAAACTACAACTATCGCTCATGTTGTTTTCGAAACTGCAACTAATTATTTTAAATATTCATTTCACGATAACTGAATGCACGAACGAAAAGTCTGGCGATATTCTCAATTATTTATATTACTCACTTTCGGCAGGAAAAATCGGTAGTGTAATCGTTTTGCACGAAATAATTATCAGTGACGTAGAAAAGATTCCTGAAAAAAGGTTGCTTGGATGAGAGGATCAATTTTTTCTTTAAAAAACGATTGTTTTCGATTGCCGAAGTTTCGAATTTAATCAAATTTTTCTTCAGGGCTCAAAAGGTAGTTTTTTATTGTTGATTCAATTCAATTCAATTTATTTGGAATATGTTAATATACAATTTACTTATATTATGGTTAGGACCACTAGGAGTTTGAGGAAAGCAGCCTAAGCATGTTACCTATTTTGACCCGTTGGGTTCTACAAGAAAGATAATCTGTAAAAACATTATTTGCTGGTCCTCGTATTCCATATAAATTCAGTTTATTTAAGCGTGCTTCATGAGAAATTGTATCAAAGGCCTTGGCCACATCAAGAAAAATTGCAATACACTTTTTTGAATTGTCTAAGACATCCGATGCTTGCCTAAATAAATCAGCTACAGCTAGTTCAGTATTACTTCCATTAATGAATCCATACTTCCTTTCTGTTAATACCTCATTTTTTTGAAAAAATTCCAGTAGGCGAATTTTGAGGGCATGTTCCAAAATCTTCGCAAAATTATCTATTACAAAAATTGGTCGATAGTTGCTGGGATTGGATTTATCACCAGATTTAAAAACGGGAGTGGCTATGGAATATTTCCATTGCAGTGGTATTTTGCCAGTTTTGAATATTAAATTGATTATATAGACAAGGCGTTGACCAAATACAGGTGTAGAGAAAATCTACTTAATGTCATAAGGACTACTAGAAGAAAAGAGTAGTTGTTTCGACCCGCCAGATGGCATGTCTAGGGATTCACGTTTCGTAGTGTCGAATAAACAACGAACGCACCAAGTGGTGAGGGATGGTGAGAACAGCACACATTAACCGATCTGCTCTCGGAACATGAAAGAAAATACCCTTCAGCTGATTGAAAGTTAGAGGTCGACATCCGATTGTTTATTTTTTGATGACAGATGAAAATACTAAAGTTCACCACCAGCGCAAATAGACGATCCAAGGCTTGAAAATACATAAATACAACGGTGAAAATATATAACTAAAGTGATTATACTCTTCAGTAACAGATGAGTAAATGTAGTAATATATAAACATATACACATCATGTAAAATTGTCTCTTTCGATTTACAGGAATCCTACTAGTAGTGCAAGATGTAGAAGACAGTGTGCTCTACATGATAGAGTACAATTATATGACATTTTAAAGGTAGGTAAGAAACATAATTTATATTTTACAACACCACTAATTCCTTTTTTCCTTTTCGAAGATTGGTGGAGCATTATTATGGTCCACATATGAAAAACATGAACATGAACACTAGGTTATCTATATGATGTGAATCTATCATTTGAATAAAAAATATTAGTATAACTCGCTTTAGTTCATAATTAGGTACTATAAGTTGAATATGGTTCTAGTTGACCAAGTGAAACATAAGCTACACCTTGAAAGAAATAGCATTTGATAGGGATGGAATAATGCATGGCAAAAGAAAATGCTATAGCATATTCCTAATTTTATTCATAGTTATTAACTTTTGTTTAAAAAAAAATAATGGTTTATTGTATGATTTTTACTATAAAGGGTTTTACAAAAACCGCGACATCATAACGGGTAATTTTTTAAGAGGTATAGGATTTGATTTCCAAAACAACACAAAAAATTTGAAAAAATTGATGGAATCTTCATTTGAATCTATTGAAAGATCAATATAATTTGATGTTTGAAGATGATTTCATGCAAATGTTGTCCGTGGCTCTGCTTTAGATGGCCCATGCGCAAGGTCCAATTTTGGCACTCTCTCTCTAACATATCGCTTCAATATTAGCTTCCAGAACGTCAGTCTCATGTAGACATGAGCATTAACATGACCCCACAGGTAAACTGTTCACCGAAGGCGGCTCTTAATTGGAACATTGTTTCGTGTGCCGTGTGGCATGTGGCACCGTCTTGTTGAAACCACGTGTCAGGCATGTCCAATTCTTCCATTTTGGGCAACAAAAAGTCGTCAATCATCTAGTCTTCACTCGAGATGCGGCAATTTTGCTTATTATTGTATCCAGTCAACCAGAAATGAGCTTCGTCGCTTAACACAATTTTTCGATAAAAATGCGGATCTTCCTCCAACTTTGCCAGCGCCCATTTAAATTTTAAACGTTGTGGGAGGTCGTGTGGCTTCAATTCTTGCACCAGCTGTATCTTATAAGGTTTTACACCCAAAATTTTCCACGTAGTGGAGTAACAGAGGCTCAATTGCTGCGAACGGCGGCGAATCGACATTTCACGGTCATCACGAACACTGTCAGCTACAGCCGCAATATTTTCTTCGGTCCTCACTCACTGCCCATAAATTGAAAGAAGTGCACGATGCATGTTCATTCATAAGTCGATTTATGGTTAAATTATACACCAAACTGAACAAGTTTGACAATGATACGATTCACGCGTGATCTGTCAAAAACAGTGTTGCCAAAGAGATACCAGAAAAAAAATCACTCATTACAATGAACTGTATCAAGTTTTGATATGGATTTTCATCAAGTATCGGCCAGTTCTATTCAACCTTTGTTTCAATTCGAAAATTTTCTCCATGTTCCCAATTTATGTCTGTTTCAGATCATAAGGTTCGTAAACTTCAACAAGTGTTGGAAAAACCGAAATACAAGACGACGGAATAGAAAAAGTCTGGGATTCACAAAATGAGCTATGATGATTGCGATATAAAGTATGTTGGTCAAACAAAGCGGGCTATAACATCTCGATTCAAAGAACATATTCCACAAATTCAGTTCCATAGACCAAGAAGTCCAGTGTCCATGAAGGCCGGCCAAAGGGTGAGTAAGGAATGCTTGAAATTGTCGACACCGGTATACGACAACAAGTTTGAAATGCTTTCGAATGTTCAGAAATATATGAACGGCGAAAAAGGTTGAATTCCCAACTACCCTTTGTTGATACTCCCACGTAATTACAGATAGAAAAAAGTTAAGTGACATAAGACTTTATCTTTGATGTTTTTTTTTGTTGAAGGAACATATTGAGACTGGAATTACCTCTTGATTCGGATATTCTTCAGTGAAATTAATGTCATCCGTTACTCAGTTACTGTGTGTTGTTTCACTTGATTTTGCAATTGCTTCAATGAACAATAAAATCATCGTTATCAACATAGTTCAGTAAATAACAGCATTGAAAAAATATTTTAATTTGTTGTTTAATTTGTTTCGAAAAAATTACAGTGATCACGTTTGCCTCCATCGTCGTTACCTCATCTTCTTTACGAATGTATACACCCTGGATTACTGAGATAATAAGAGAAGATGAAATCAAAACATTACAAAAATATCAGTTTTTCTTAATTTTTTCACTAGTTTTTCTTGAGCAGCACAGTTTTTTCAGTAAGAAATAAGAAGCTAGCATCAAACTGGCAACAACAGCTCCCACTAGAAGAACAATATCCACGAGGAAATATTGGTACCAAGTCAAATCAAGGGCAGCTACCCTTAAATGTGGTGCTCCTTTGTGTCGGACAACAAATTCGATCCAATATGTCGCAAGATCCATGGGCTTCACTTTTCGATCGTGCATGATCGCTGATCTTCTTTTAGCATTATCCCTATACCTGTGAAGAAATCATGAAAATCAGTTATATAGTAGCTCAAATAAATGTTTCAACAAGTGCACATTCAGTTTTCGAAAAGAGGTTTGACATAACAACGCAAAAATGATTACAAATCAGTTTCTTTGACTACATATCTCTTCAAAATATTCCAGAAAAAAATATGAACAAGATCACTTTCCTCTGTTGAAAAGTATAAGATTGTATCCACATTTAGTCACTGCAGTCACTGAAAGACATAACTGAAGAAGATATTTGATTATGGAGTACTCCAGGGTACAGTGTTAGGTCCCATACTGTTCGGTGTACAATAATGATAATAATAATTCATTCATCATAATGAGAAACAAACAATAAAAAGATATAATGAAACAAGGTATGATGAATGTACGAGAGTGTGAGGTATCAACACGAAATGAAAAAATAGTAATGAGTCCTACAATCGTGGTATGGAAAAACAAAATCTGGGAAATCGAAACCTTTATGATAATCTGAGGAAAGTACTGTTATGTTAAATTAATGCTTTGTTGAGGTTAGAGCTTTGAGTCTTTTTCAAAGTTTTCAAGACGTAACTTTCTACAGATGAGGTGTTATACAATTTAGCTGCCATATATAAAAAACTACGTATATAAATAGCCGACCAACGATTCAATGAGAACAGGAGGTGTCGATCGCGACTAATTTTATTGACAGATACTGAAATGAGCCGATCACGCAAAAAAGGTGGAGTTCTGGTTGGTAAAATTTTATGAGTGAAGGTAAGAAGGTGCAGTTCTCTAAGAGCATTCAGTTTCAGCCAGAATTCTCAAATGATGAGCTTATGTGATCGTATTCACGGATTCCATATGGAAATCGAATACAACTATTTGTTTTTGAAGGTGGTTAACAATGTTTCGTGGTGAATTTCATCAGTTCGGTTTTCCATTGTCTAATTTAATATAAATTTATTTGAAATCCCTGAAATAATCTGTGAAAAAATGCCAATGGGATCGCCACTTTCACCGGTTATAGCCAATATATATATAGAGTGGTTTGAAACTCTGGCCATTGAGAAGAGGCCCACAAGAAGCCCCGAGTCTGGTTGAGATACATAGACGACACCTTCATAATATGGAATCATCCGAATGCAGAACTAGACACTTTCCTGAAGCACATCAACAACGTTAGTCCTTCCATCACTTTCACAATGGAGAAGGAAGTCCACAACGAATTGCCTTTCTTAGACATATTGGTGAAGAGGACCGACACTAAATGGGAAACATCTGTATATCGAAAACCCACTCACACAGGAAAGTATCTGAACCAGAAATCCAACCACCATCAATCGACTAAGAGAGGAATCAACAAGACTCTACTAGACCGTGCTTTCGGGCTCTGTAATAAAAAGGACGGTCTCGAAAAGGAACTAGGCATCATCAAAAATGACCTTCAACGAAATGGTTACTCCAGAGTGATGGTAGAACAGGCTTTAGTTAGAAGACAGCAACAGCTCCACAAGGAAGAGAAGCTGCCAAAACCAGTACTTGTACTTCCTTGCAACAGAGGATTATCGAAAAAGATAAGAAGGATTGGGTCCAGGTAATACATCAGGACCTGTTTCGGATCTAGGAACACTATCCGTAGTAGCCTCACGAAAACCAGGCCACTAAACGCGGACTGCGATTCCAAGAATTGCATTTACCGGATACCCTGCGAGTGAAGAGAATCATAAATCGGTGAAACTAAGAGGCCTTTGAAATTTTGCATTGCTGAGCACAAGAAACACACACAGCGACGAGAAACCAGCAAATCCGGAATAGCAGAGCATGTTTGGACTCATCAACATAACATCAAGTGGNCAAATCATTACGTTCACTAATATTAGAAGTCCAATATTCTTTAAATATACATTGAATAATATAGCTCTTAAAAGAGTAAACATTTATTCGCGATCTGGGAGTTGAATTTGAAAGCAAAATTAATCTTCAAGTATGTGGCAAAAAGTCTCAAAATGCTAGGTTTTGTATTGAGAATTTCTATTTTCTCAATTAAAACAAAAAAGATTTTATATTATGCTTTCTTAAGATCCATTCTTGAATATTGGTCGGTTATATGGGGCCCTTATTACTATGTAAATATCGATTTGATTGAGAATGTTCAAAAGAAATTCTTAAAGAATTGTTCTTTCCACTTTGGTATTCAACGAAATGAGTATGAGTACAGGCGACTTTTAACCAAGTTGAATATAAAATCTTTGGAAGATAGGAGAATTTCTATAAACTTGAATTTCCTCTTCAAATGAATAAATACTGAGATAAACTGCCCATAACAATTTCAAGTATAACTTTTCATATCAAACAAAAAGATATGAGAAATCCTGACATTTTTCATATACATTTTTTCCATACAAATTCTGCTTTGAACAGTCTGATTCCTCGTATTCTGAAGCTGGGAAATCAATATCATAATAACTCAGATCTGTTTGATGTATTACTTCAGGTGTTTAAGAAAGCAATTGAAACGGCTATAGCGTTTTCGAAGCTTTTCTTTACCTTGCTATTTATAAGTACCAGATTTGTTACTTGTTTCTTGTGAGTAGCAGAATTGTTTCATCTTTCAATAATGTAATAACTGGACTTAAGGATTTATAAATATTGTTATCATTGTGTTAAAAATTGTAAATTGTTATGTAGACATCAGACATGACCATTAAAAAAATACTTTGTAGTTCCTCACACTTTGTTAAATATGTTTTTGTAAATTGGCTTTGCCGTTGAATAAATAAATAAATGAATGAATCCTGATTGCACATCAGAAATGAGCTGTTAATGAGCTGTTTACGTTAAATGCTGAAGAGATCAGTGTAATAATAGGATTTGCCAATGATACCGCAATATTTTACCAATCTGATAGCTGTGAAATACTGGGAATAGATGTTGAATCTGACTTTCGCTTATATTCATGAAGAAATCAATGCAGAAATGACCCACTATTCAAGATTAAATTACAATTCTGAATTAATAACATAAAATTGTTGAACAATAATCATCCTACAAAACAATAATCATCCTACAAAAAATGAATTTTTCGAAATGAAATTTCGAAATATTCATCTCTCCCAACTACCTACACCGTAGGTTCTGGTAAATGCATGTCGGAAAACAACTACTTTCCTGGGTAACACCACTTTGGATATTGAATTGCACAATAACTCACAGAGGTTAGTCTCGCAGATGTTTTTCGTTTATCCAGTAGCAGAACCATGCTGAAATTATTCAAGTCCTACAGACCTACAGACCGGTTTCAAGGTAATGTTCAAGTAATGTCAAGGTTTCAGTGCAGGAAAGATCCAACCCAAACAGGAAAGTGCCTGGGACTCGAATAATTTAAACACGACTCAACTGTATGTACGAAACCTTCATCTAAGAGGAATATTTTCAACTGGTAACAGCTCCATCTCGTAAAGAGAGCCCCAAGCGGGAAATAAACATCCAATGTACCAATAATGTAACAGAGAATGTATCTAAGAGAGATAGTTACGTACTAGAAAATAAATATTTAGAAAGTACCTGCAGTGTAGGTTCTGGTAAAAGCTTGCAGCAAAACAGCCACTTTCTTGGCTAATATCACGCTGGATATTGAATAATTACCCTACATCTACGGTGAAGGTAGTTTGGAGAAATACATTTATTTTCGAGTGGAAATTTATTCCAGCATTCAGCTTAGCATTAACTAGGTTTGTTGCAACTCATTATATTTTCGAATACTTTGTGAAAATTCACTACATGAAATGATATAAAAACCTGGACTTACTTTGAATTATGCAATAGTTCATTTAGGATATTAGATAATTTTTCCTCGTTTAACTCTTTTATTGATAAAGATAAACCATATCCCGCTGCAACAGCCTTTGCAGAATTCATCTTCTGATCTCCAAAAACAGGAATGGCGAGTATAGGTACACCATGATAGATTGTTTCTGTTTTACTCAGTAAACCGCCATGAGTGATGAACAACTTAACATTGGGATGAGCTGAGAAAAAAATCATTTCAATCAAATTTCAGACAACTATTCAAATAAAATAAAGAATTTGTATTTAGTAGTCAACAAATAAATGGAAACCTCTAGCGCAAAGTGCATTGAATTATTTTTCCGCACACCAGAAAGAGAGCGCTTTCTCTAGGCGCACGTTTTGCTAACGAAATTAGTATAATCAGGAGATGACTCAAACTAACTCTTTAAAACAAAATTACAGTAATTTATATTAATCTGGACTATGGACTCATATTGTTATCCGTCAATAGCTTAGTTTCTCTTTGAATTAGTGTGTGGAACAGTAAACAAATGGAAATGGGTAATAACATAACTAGACTAGGCATTAAGGCTTCCAAAAGTCCGTTATCATACACCTTTCGCAACAATTGCAAATATTTCTATTCATTTTGTGAAGAGTTATCATAATTCGATTGATTAGATCACAGTACTTTTTTATGAACATACTCGTATTCGTCATATTCGTCATCAGGATCTTCAACTATAAATTTGTCAATTTCTTCCTTTGTAAATACTTTTGATTTCTTAGGTTTATAATTACTGTTTTTTTGTTTTAAAAATGCTACAAGCTTGAAAAACTTTGAAATGTCAATATTTTCTTTTATTGCAAGTGTCGATTTTAGCATGGAATAATTTGCCCACAATGTCGATACCTTTTTGCCTTCAGATTTCTCTTTGAAATACGCCAATGAAACATTTTCTGTTACTTTAGCAACTTTCCTTTCTTCACACCATGTTTTCAGTTGGTTATATGCATCATGTACAATCTCTTTGATTTTTCTGGCAATAAATCACTACTTGTACTAGCTGCCACCACTCTAACTTCAAGCGAAGTACACATCATCTCTAAATCATCGTCATTTGAATTATCACCCATTTTTCAATTAATTATATTGAC